TCCTAAAATAGTAGTAAATAAAAAGAAGAAGTAGAACATTTCTGTCGTTCAATAGGATAGCTGCGAAACGAGAGACCGAAATTCCAAAGCTAGCGCGAATTCGAGAAGAGATAAGCCGCGCGAGGAACGCTTTTGAATCTCTCCCGCGTTCTCTCTGCGGGCACAGGAAATAGAACGGAAATGTTTTTAAAGCGGCCGTGTACTGAAATTCGCCGCAGACGCGGTGAATTTATTCGCCTCTAAACTTGCAACATATCTCTCGGAGTTGAAATTAACACGTAACGTTACTTGAAACGAGCCTACAATTATTTCTCGACCGCGAACGTCGTCGGGAAGCTGCGATAAGAGTCTGATAAAAGAAACTTTTTCCTACGTAGACATATACACGTGTTCCTGCTCGCCTTTTCGTCGGGTAAACTTCCTCTGCGCAGTGAAACGGTCGCGTAGTCCGCGTTTCACGTCGCCCGCGGGACTCGCTGTGAATTAATCCGCAGCTCCAAGTCCCGTGTTGAACGTTTAAAGACCGTTAAAGAGTCACGCGTGAACGTTTTGCAATGGGACGAACTCTAGCGTATTTTTTTTCAACGTAATATCACGGGTCGGTGCAGATAACGCTGTACCAGTTACTCCTTGTATAAAATAATTCTTATTGTTCTTCGTGCAAAATTAAATCGTACAAATAATAGTATCACCTAATTTCATTATATTGAGTATTATCCAGAATGTCCAATTACGAACTGGGTATGCGACCCATTAACCAATGTATTCTTCTGTCTCTTGTGGTTCTCTACCCACCAGCGAATTACATTCTATTGCGTGAATGCTGTAATTTAATGTACGTGCTAATGAACGTTGTAGTTAATTGAGAAAAACAGATGATTGAATTTCTCCGGGATAAAAGTAGAACAAACGGGAGACAAACTTGGTTCGTTTACGGGGAAACAGGAAACACAGCAACATCCCTCTTCTACCTCAGTACCTCAGTTACGCTTAAGTTTAACCGAGTACCATTCGCAAATAGAAGACGTTTGAATCGGCGTTAATTTTCGCGTCGGTATCCCAGTCGGACGTTAAGCGAAAGGGTGAAAAGTGTACGTACCCGTATAGCTAGTCTGCGGTCCAGTAATTTATGAACGGTAGATAAATAGAGAGAGTATCTAGCGATAAACCAGGGATTGATCGATATTTGAAGCGACGCCTCGTCGATGGGACCGAATGAATAATAAGCGACTGTCGGCTATGAAAAGAGAACGTTCGGAGCGAATGAACGGGAGATCGGAGAATTTCCTGAAAATCGCCGGAAATTGATCCATTGTACCCGCGGCCGAGTTTGTTTCGCGTAACCTGATTTCGCGGCATTACGTCTATTCGATGGGATATCGTCGAAACGAATTTCAATCAACTTCCCCCGGTATAATCGCTTTAACCGGCGACTGTTTTCTTTCGTTATGGTCGAAATTTGTCCGCGGCGAGGATAATATTTGCTCTAATAACAAGCCAAGCACTCCGGATTACAGTTTGCCTTACCATCGTTCAAATAATTCAACTACATATTGCAAAAACGACATCTTCCATGGGGAATTACGTTCTATGCAAATTTTCTTAACGATTGTGGCCTGTTCGCCGTGAATCACAGTTTGCTTCTCTAACGTTCAGGCAATTAAACTATATACATTCATTGTCTTTTATACGTTGTAAAAATAACATAATCTGCGAATTATGGAATACTCCGTTTTATTAAATTATTCGTTCTGGATTATCACAGTTTAAATAATTGCAAAAATGAAACGTTGCGTTAGTAGAACTACGTGTTATGCAAATATTTTGAAGGATTATAGCGGCAATAATATAAAGTAAAGTTATTCGTGACGGTAATTACATCTCGGGGAATGATGCCGATAACTTCTCGTGATAATTTACTCACGGAAATGTTCGCGATAAATCAGTGTAGCTCACGTTAACGCAGGAAAAGAACGCACGTTCGTGCGAAGATCTTCGATATACTAATAAACCATAGTACGGTATTAAGGTGATTCTAGCAATTTTCTACGAAGGCAAATTGAAATCAGTTTTCGCAAGCTCATAGTATCGCTGTCGACCCTTTACATTTCTATCAATCAATTTTGCTTAGAGAAATTTCTGTGTTCAATCGAGGGTCACATTTTTAAACCTGTACTTATTCTATCTTTTGAAATAGATTTTAGAGAAGTTTGAAATAATAAATGAATCCATTGAGACATTAACGAAAGAGAACCTTGGCTGGGAAAAAAGGAACAAACGTCTGACCTTCTTTCTTTCCTTTCGAATGGAAGTAGAACGGTTCTCCCTTTCTCAAAATAATTTAGCTACGTTACTTTTATCGTAGAGGCTTTCGAACGATTCAGCAAGAAGTTCCACTGAGTGACCCCACCCCCGGGACTGCTTTGATCGGTTTTATCGTAATGCGCTTTTCGTCGTTTCGCGTCGTAGATATTTATAGTGTCGCTCATCGAACGACTTCTCGTCGCAATTTCTGGGCCAACGATATCGATTTTTCTAACCGGCGCCCGTTCAACGGACCTCGTTTTCCCAAACTTTCCCAAAGGGAAAAACTTCCTCCTCGTAATAATTTTCATCTAAGAATTTAATATTGGAAGAATTCGAAATTGAGATCATCGAACGCGTTCGAACTTCTCATTTTCAATGATTTTATCATTACGAGAGTAGAAATGAAAAAGCAAACTGGAAGTTTTGCGTAATGTTAGAAAACTTTTTATTTAGATTCCTTGGCTACGTATTAACTGGCGCAATTTTCTGATTAGAGATGTTATCTAGAGGAAAATCCAGTTCGATCAGGTTTCGTGCAAGTCGAGGAAACGAGAAATTTCGAGCGAGGATATCCTCTTTATTAAGGGAAGATCGTCCTTGAGCCCGCGAACGGGAATTTGCATACGTATTCCGTTGATTGGGAGCTCATTGCGATGATCGAGACCCTCTCGTTACTACGGTTCTCCCTTCTTAACGAATTACCACTCGAGAACTCGCTTTGATATAAAAAAGATTCCACTGATGGCCTGTACGTAAATACGAACTGAATCAATAGAAATAAACCATCCTTCTTTGATTTAATTAAATGAACTTCATTTTCACTAAGATTATTATAATTTTATACACGAACAAAATTTTATCTGTTCCATACGTTCCACATTTTAATAAAACCGATTTTTCTTTATTTGAAATGAAAATTCTTGTTCATTCAGGCTGAATGGAACGAAACCTTGAAAAACAATCCCTCTGTTATTTTTTCTCTCTCTCTTTTCTTATTCAGTTTAAGGTTAAACGAGATCGATATTGTTGCAAATTTTCATTGTTATTAAGCTAGCTGGAGGTTGCTCGAAAGTATCTGGACCGGAAATTATTTGTAATTCTTAGCGCGCAAAACGCAAGCAGGTCAGTTGGAAAGGCTTTATCTCGGCTTGGTCAGAGACTCGAATACTGTTTTGTGTACTGCCTCACGCAATTGATCAACCGTTCATTTCAACTTGATATTCACCGACACCTTTCAAATCTTTGTATTCGTTCCACGGCAAATGCTTGCGACTAGCTAGACCGAAATGCAATTATCGGGCAACAGATTTTTATTTAAAATTAAATATTCAGAAAACGTGATTTACAGACGAATTTCATCGTATACTTTTATAAACGTATATTCTCTGCACGTTTCATTTTCTTATGAATGCACCAATCTAATAGAAAATGTCTAGTTTATAAAAGAGGTTTTAAAACATACAAAGGTGGTAATTATTTCATAAGTTCAGCGAATGAGGAACGAATGTGAATGGCTGTTCTTATCTCGACGAGGCGGAAGGTACTGTACTGGATAATTCGTAATTGGGCAAACGAGTCTCTCGTGGACGTGAGCGAGGACGCAGCGTCCGCCCCGACGACGACGACGTTGGCTCGTTGAAAATTTATGGAAATCGCGATAATGAGGAACGCAGTGGCGTTCGCTGAAGCAGCGAAGTCGAATAGGTGTGTACACACGTTATCGAACGACGTGCCTCGATTTAACGAACAGAGATCGATTGGGTACCCCCTGAACGGCTAAAAATACAGATTCGGCGATGTAAATCAGGGGCCTCGAATAAAAATCATTGCGAAGGGAACAAATTATATGGCTACGTTTTAACCCGTAACGCGTGCTATCGATTTCCCTTCGGCAAAGCGCCCTTTCACTGTTCGTGGAGATCAGAGATAGCCGAGAATTTCCGTGTTCGAATAACCTTACAAACCGAAGGCGGTTTTTCTTTGTGGAACAGGTGGCAAAACTCGATATAGCGTGCGGGATAATAGAGAAATTGCTATTCGAGTTAACAGGCAAATCTGTTAGATGAATTGTATAATGCGTATTGTCGCGAGACCGCGGATTTTATGCGGACGAGACGCGTCTCGAACGGAGCATTCAGTATTCCGTTCTATTTTCTGTCGATCGAACGCATAAAATCGGCAGTCTGTCCAGGAGGAAAAAGCGTATGGAAAAACTAGGTAGCAGGTACAAAGCGATTGTCTGACTTGTGACTGTTAGAAAAGCTGCCAATGGTACTCACAGTACGTGTCAGTGGTTAGCCGGTCGATGGTGTCCTGCTTCAGTTTGCTATTCTTCTTGCCCATGTTTCTCGCGAGAATCCTCTTTCAATCCGTTACGCGATCGGCTTTTATCCGCTCTCTACCGGTGCGTTTTCTATTTTCCACGGGCCTGGAACGGTCTCACCGTTCGCTTTGCATCTTTCACGTGGCTGAGCTCGCCGGCCGATGCAGTGTCCCCCCGCCCGGTCGAAAACGATTTAAACGCTCGGAATTCCGAATTCGATCGTGACCCAGCGACGAGAGGAGGCTCTTCTATTTCCACTTGCTTCGAGACTCTCGGCGGTCCCCCGAGTCTCCTCGCACCCTTTCAGTCGGCAACTTTTCTCGTACGGTATTATTGGAAGTCGACGAAAATGGCAATTGATTAAATTTGTCCGCGACGCGTGCACCGCGAGACTTTCCGCTCCTCCGTGTTCTTCTTATCGAAGGACACGCGCATCACTCGATCCTCGATAGACGTCTGGAAAAGTTTTCGTTATACCCTCTCGCCGAAAGTAGTTTCCATTCACTTGTTCCTCGTCTCGTCACTTCGAAGCTAGCCAGAGAGATCCACTCGAAAGTCGTTTCTAAAAATCCCGCGGAACAGCTACGCGGCTTTCAAGCGCTTAGCAACTTCTCGACACGCTCTCTTTTTTCAATCCCAAAAAAATCGACGAATTCAATTTTTCGCCTCGCTGATTCTTTTTTTTTTTCTCACTGAAAGTTTTTGTACGATTTGAACGAATTTCCTCTCGACGGTGCTAACGAGGTTACGACGATCCGTTCTATTGCACTTATTAAACGAATTTTTCCTGCCGGCACTTGATTGTATTTTTTGTCAGTGAAAATAAAATTCAAAACGTATGGTCCGGTTGGAATGAAATCTACGATGAATATCTCTCTCGAGGGTCGACGAAAATTGCTACAGTTCAATTATTTGTTCCTCGATCACTCCCGTAGGAGAAACGCGATCGTTATTTCGGTCAGTAGAAAATTTTTACAATTTTATGTTCGATATCTGTCGTGAAATTATGACCGGGAAATTAATTAGTGGAGCGAACGAGACAGAGAATTGCTAAGAATCAACCGTCTTAGCTCGTAACGAGAGTCGAACATTGAGGTATTGCCACTTTTACTTCTGATTAGAAAATCGTCGTTAAATTATTTTTGGAATGAACGAACGATTGTTGACGTTTATTGAATTTGAAGCCTGCACGCAGAGTATAGTGAGGACTTGAATTATTTACCTGCAGCCAAGGCCTGATGGTACCCTTGACCTCGGCCGAGAATCTTCAAATACATTATTTTAAATGATAATTAAAATATTAATCATCCTTCGAGGCTAAACATCCTTCGAGATGAAACAAATTCCTGTTTAGACGTTAGAAATGTCCCATTTTGCATAAAACTCCAGAGTCGATAAATTGTTCGATTAAAACTTTTGCTGCGGCGGAGATTAAATTCTTGTTCAAAGTCCGCGCAGCGAGGGGGAAATAAACATTGCCCATAAATACGTATTTGCAGTATTTTATTGCCGGCCGATATTTTGGTCGAAGAAATCTTGATCGTGCGTCCGACCTACTGGTATACATATACTTAATCCCTTTAAAGTGTCGGGAGCAAAATATCCCGCGGCAGTCTGCTCCCCTTCGATTAAATGTTCGCCCGAGTCAGCGCGACCGAGCGAAACTTTTAAGAAACCGTTCACGTCGCATCGAGAACGAGGACACGAATTCCCATCTGCATACGAGTTGCCCAAGAAAGTATTATGGGGAATCATTGTCATTCAAATTTTTCCAGAAAAGAATCGGTTTGAAAATTAGGATCAATTCTTTCTGGAATTTACAAACCCGGTCGATGCGATTCAGAATAATTGAATATATTTCGAGCTGTCGTTATCAAAATTTTTCAAAAGTCGATTTCATCGACGAACTCAAATTTTTATATAAAAAAATTAGAATTTCTGGAATTCACAAGAATGGTTAATTTTATTTAAAAGAATCGAGCGTTTCTATGTTTAAATAAAGAATCGCGATCTGAATTTCTACAAGGAATTACGGATACGTTTTGAGGGTTCGAGTCGAACTGTTGGACGTTCAAACGGTTAGTTGGATAGGAAAGGCAGATTCGATGGGGAAACAATTAGAGGGCGAGACACTGATTGTCCGTTTACCGTGACTGGAGCTTTATTGGATTACCGGATATTCCGGGCTATCGGCCGATATTCCCAGAAGTAGACGATGGTCGGGCGCTCTTGACGCATTGTGCCGATAAGTCACCGATGTCGGTCAAAACTGTGCACTTACACAGGCGTACTTACTTTTCACGACGGCCGCGTACCAAACACTGATTATCGCATAAATGAGCGTCAGCAACGCTGGCCGTGTCGTAAATGAAAGGCGCAAGATGAATCTTAGCTGTTGCATATGAGAAGCAAACGAGTTTAGTTAGACAAATTCTGTTAGAGATAATAGACTGGAGAATTCATGCAAATGTTCATAATAAATGAAAATTATTATTATATATATTAATAAATGATAATTATAATAATTGAAAATTCAATTCATGAAAATGTTCATAATAATACTCTGTTAAGAAATATCGAATCAATGACAGACCACGTTTCTATTTCAAACGGATTCTTTCGACTGGTACCGTGAATGCATGAAAATCCAGTCTACCGATAATACATTAGAGATAAAAGAGTCGTCTCAGTAAGTCACCAACAAATAAGAAACCTAAAGACGTTTTATAGGAACATTATCAAACGAACATCGTTCGCCAGAATGTAGTAGGCATCATGCGAGTTACGAGCTAATTTTGCACCAATTATTCCCAGCTCTATAAATGAATTTCACTGCACAAAATCAAATCCACCCAATATCATTAAGACATGCCATACAAAGGCTTGAAAATAGATCATGGCAATGATGCTGTGAACTATCTTAACTAAAGAACCGGTCGCAAAATGATTGAGGAAGATAGAAACGATGGAACAATGAGAAGTAAAGCAGAGAGCGACGTGGTAAAGACGGTAACAAAGAATCGGCGAGGATGAACGAGCCAAAGTGTTAGCCGGTGCTCGGATGAGAGAGTTGCAGCACTGGGTCTGTTCCATTTCGCGAATCGTCGCGCGATCGATCGATTGATCGTCGGCGGCTGGAACAAATGGATCTCTCTGACGGCGCGACGAGCGATGGACACGATGCGCGGCGTTAAGCTTCGAAGCGACGTTTTTTTCATTCATCAATCGCCTTACCGTGCTTGGTAAACGATCGGCGGAAAAACACGGACCAGTGACGTCATAGCGTCGCGGCGCCTGGCGTCAGACTGGCTTGCCGATTGGCATTACGTACAGTGCGTTGCTACTGATTCGCGCAGGCGCCGGCACTCGCTGAGAATTCTCGATCGTTCCCTCTTTCTTTGCCCTACGAGGGTACCCCCGTGTTCCGTTCTCTTCGCACTCTCTCCCACCCTGCGTCGTGCTCGCCCTCTGCTACCCCTGCATTTCGAGCTTCCTCCTAGCCCCAGATATCACCTTGCTCGGCTGCTTTCGTTCTACACGCAGATCCATGAGATCTGTCATCTCTGCATCCCCTTTTCTTTTCATCTCTCCCCTTCCCCCGATCCTTTCCCCATCGAATCACATGCATTTTTGTTTTTCAACGTGGGACACTTTAATTGCTGATCGTTAGTCTACAGATTTCATGCGTTCACAGGATAATTGATGGAGTGCATATAAAAAAATCAGTCAATTATCGTAACGAAGAGAATATCGTACCAATCATTGGCATCGATCATTGCACGAAACGCAGTGAGCGAAAAGATTGAGCGTATAAAATGGGTTAAGGTTCGTAGTACCAATTTCTTCCTGTAGCGAAAACGTCGAACAACAGATGTATCCTATTCTTTCCGATTCCTCTTCTCTGAATAAGTATGCACGCACGGGCTGACGCTTTCGTAAGAATCGCGAATCGATAAAGGCAATGGACGCGACTCGTGTCGCGACGAGAAATCGTTTCGCGTGCATTCAATTGCTTCCTGTCCGACACTTACGTCCTCATCGCCTCGTTAAGCTTTTCCTCGGCTCGTGTAACGGTGCTTTCCGTTCTTAGCAAAAGAAATTCTCTTGTTCTTCCGACCTTTCGCTCGTTCGTGCGACGAGTATCGCGATAAAAATATCCGTCCGACGGGAATGATTTATTCGTTTAGCGAGCGCTCCCTCAGAAGTCACGTTACCGATTGATTTTTCACATCCGATGCATTTTCCTTGTTCGGAACCGCAGACATTTCCCGTTTTATCCGTTTATGGAAAGTAAAATCATGACTGCTCTCTTCTAGCTCGTAAAAACTGATAGAAAAATATACCTGAATGCCAGAAAAACCAGAAAAACTGTGCAATTGATTAAAAGTGTTAGAAACCTAACTTTCAAGTAGTATAGTCAATAAAAGGTCAGGCGTGAATTATATCTCATATAAAAAAAATCATATGCATGAAAAATTAATTGATAGATTAGCTACGTACGTCAAACGAAGCTGAAGAGCATTCGTTTAACCAGAGATAACATAAATCGAAAAACCCAAGTAGTACAAGTCAATAATACGTCAGACGTGGACTGTGCATTCGGTTGGACGTCTCTAATAGAAGTGACGCCATTGATCAATTCGATGAACATTTTACACAATTAAATTCGGCCGAATATACGGGACGACTTCTTAAAATGGTATCGGAAAGCGAGCAATAACGATTGTAATCGATAGATTTAAAAAGAGCACCCAGAATCGGTGACCCTATGAATAAAAGAACAGAGCTCCGAGTCTTAACGCGAGAATCGACTGTGGATATTCGTCACTCTTCTTTTTACAGTCACCTTATTAAAACCTATGGAGGAGCAATTTATTTTCCATTGTAACAATAGAATTATAATTATTACTTTGCCGATTGTTAGGTAAAATTTAATATTCATGGTACTTTTGGTGTTCGAAAATAATTCGTATTCAATGTTTCATTCGTGCATCTTATATTCTGCACGCGATTTATTTATTGTCAGAATTGAGTTTCAATGGATGAAATGGAAAGTTTAACTTTTTCGAAGGTTCGAGCATGGCAGGTTGCCGGGCAACTGGCAGGAACGATAAAGTACAACAGGCGGGAGCGTCGCGCACCTGTTATTCACCGTTCGCGCGTGCATTAGTAATAAGGGATAATTGCACCCTCTCCTTGGCGGTTATTCGATTTAATGATAATGGTTATTGTCAATCGCGCTTGTTCGAAACCTACGTGGTTTACCAGGAGATCCCTATCCGCGTGCTTTATTTATGCGTCGCTGAGTCACGTTCACCGCGTCCCACGTGGCCCGATAAGAATCTCTTCCTTCAATTTAATGTCAAGTGCAACAAAAATCGAAATTGCGTTTTGTTTTTTCAAAAATTGTTTCGCAATAGAACGAACACGTGGTGAACGTCGGAGAGTTTAAGGAATTTGGTAGGTCACGAGTACGAAATTGCATATGCAATTTTTTTGCTGAACGTGGAAAACTGCGCGGTGTCCGTGAACTGTTACGAGCTTAACCGCGAACTACGCAACACGGTTCCCGAGTGGCGCTCGTTATCGGGGAAATTACGGGCCCGAGGAAACACGTACGGTTTCCACCGCGTGGGAAAGTAAAATTGCGTCTTTCGTCAATGCATTTAAGCTTGCGTTGCACGTTGCGCGCTCGTCTCAAGCACGGAACGAGAGTTCTCTCGAAATACCGTGCAAACGACGTCGGCTTGCCACGTCCCACAGATTTTCTAACGAGTTTTCAACTATTCGCCCCATGTCACGCATCATCCACGAGACTTTGAACCTTTCAAAATCTACGATCTCATCTTCTTCGCGCAAAAAGAATTGTCCTCGTCATCAGAAGGAAATGGAACGAGAAATTTACTTAGGAAATGATGGAAAGAATGGAATTGCGAATTCATTTTCCGATTAGGAAGGTTGACTTACATAAATATCATCGATGACGCTGAGGTCATGCGAAATCACTGCGAGCCAGCGTTGACGCTTGAAAAGATTGCAAAATCGTGAAAGATTCTGCGAGCGGGACCTTAGAAATCCGGGAAGAGGAGAGACAAGAGTAGGGACGAGGGTACTCTCGGCCCCGTTGCGCTTTCTCTCGCGAGCGAAGCCACCCTGTATCGACCCAGCAACGCCCACCCCCAAACAGCAACCCCCACCATGGATGACCCTGTCTGCCACCGTTCTATGCCACGCCGTGTCCTCCAAAAATTTCGCACGATATGCATCCGAACGTCCTTCCAAACGCTCCTTTCCTTTATCCGACGCCCATCGATCCGAACAGTAGGGCTACGCCTCCCACGTTCGCTTTTCGACTGATCGATGGTCATCCGGTTCCGATCAAAAGATGACTTCGAATCGATTCTCGCTTGTTTACGCAGCTCTCGAATACGTGAAACATGTGTCGGTGTCCCACAAATCCTTTAGCCAATGCGTAACAAACTACCGACAGTCCAATCAACGTTTCGAAAACATCGATGTAATTTTTCAATAAGATCTAAATCGCAAACGAACATTCCGCCTCACATTTATAACTGGAAACATCTATCGATGTAGAATAGAATTTCGTTTGACTAATTAAGCATTGCGATATGCATACCATAAAACGGAATATGCGTTGGTAATGTAATTAATGAGACATCGTTAAACGAGCTCGTATAATTAATTGCGAAATCATTAATTGAAAACACTTGTCGATTCGGTAATTATAACGCGGTATTACAGGGTTAAAAGCTTTTTTCACGAGGCTATCGCGTGTTCGCAAAATTCGACCCGGTTTCAGTTTCCTTTATAAAAATGATAAGATCATTTGATACCCACTTGATAGCTCTCGGTGTTAATTAACGCCCGAAGCCAGGTACATCCCGGGTTTCAAAGATTCGAGATTACCCGCATAAAGCCTTTCAAATTTGATGCTCGACTATTCGCGACGGCGCGTTACGCGCGCTTTCAACCCGATATGTAGAACGCGAGGATTCCGGTTCGAAAAGCCGTTCAGGCGGAGGGAGTGGGAAAGCTTTGAGTTAAATACCAACGGTATCCTCCTGACATTTTAATTCCGGGTGAAATTAGGAGCGGGAATCGATCTCATTTGAATATTAAAGCGAGCCTTTAACCTTATCGCAAGTCTCACAAATATCTTTTATTAAATCTTTCCTCCCTATGCATTCGATCAAGCCACAATTATAATTGCAAAGAGACTCGGCGTTCGTCGCCCGGCATTTCGCGCGAATCTCCCGGACGCAAATAAAAATAAATGATTAACATAATTAGACCGCGGATTTCATTCATTTATAAGAAAACTATGAAACAATTGTGGAATGTTTTACCTAAAACACGTTTTTTACGGCACAAAAATCCGCGGTCTGTTAATCCCATTTGTGGTTTTTAACACGTGGAAGAAGAACGTTGCACAAAACACCGATTACCTCTTTGAAAGAAATGTTTCCTGGGAATGCGAGTTCGAATTTCTCCTAAGCATGAAAGTATGCGAAATGCCAGCTTGCGGACGATTTAATTGGAATTGGTCGCATACGTAATTCGAGCTCCTTGTCCACAGTCCGCAAGTGTGGGTGGGCCAAGAAGTAGCTAAGCTCATTTAGTGAAACTGTATCTGGTGGATCAGAATCAAATTTCGAACTTCATCGGTAGACTGCGAATTCCATGCACTTGAACATCGCTATTATCGTTCTTACAATGAAAATACACTTCCTGCGTTTAGATGATCTTGGCGAGTGAATCCATAAT